TGGTCAATTGGATTAAGAACTTTCTTGAATATAGGACATTTCAAGTTCAGGTGGGGGAAGCTGTTTCTAAAGTGCGGTGGGCTTGCAGTGGAGTACCACAGGGAGGGGTCCTCTCTCCAGTATTATTCAACATTTTCACTGCTGATCTTCCTCATCTGCTTGAATGCGTGGCATTTCTAGATAGGGTTCATCATCCATTGTGCGATACATAGCACAGGTCCCATACCGCCGCTGAAGAGTGGGGCATATTTTGCTGTACAAAATTTTTTCTTGCGACCATTGATTTTTCCCGTTTTACGTGCTAGGTCCACCCCCAACCCTGAGCCAGAGTAGGCGTGGCATTTGAACATGGCACGGAACTGGTTACTCGTGGAATATTCCAGTCTGGGACAACTGTCATCTTGTTCTGTGTTGGACAGAGACACGACAACAATTGTGTCAAGATGAAATATCTCACCAGAAGCATAGACACCTTCAGGTTAAGTTGAAGCATGCAGCCACGCCTACCCGATCTCAGGGATTTCGAGTATACCCACTTTCAACACCGCTATGGCTAGTGTTTCCGATAATTGGTAGAGGTGTTTGTCTCTCCCCACCTCGACGCCGAAATTTCGGCAAAAACGGATGATATGGTAAACGGGTGTCGTATAAGAGAGCCTGTTGGGGCAGGGGGAACACACCCAAAGAAATTTGGCACTTTTACCCTTTACTGCCCCAATCATCCGAATCGAGCCAGTTTCTGACCGACTTTTTTCTCCGTGGGCAGATTTGGCTCAAATGTTGTCTCTAAAGTAGTTTGACCTCCTAATACGAATATCACATCTGCCTGGCCCGAAACCCGGGTGTCGTGCAAGAGAATCCCCGCGCCACAGGCGCCGGAGGGTATTTTAGCGCCGGCGCTTATCACACGAGCACCAGGAGGCTTCTGGCCGAGCGGATGCGATATTCCTGTCCTGGAGGTGAGACTACCCCTGAAAACATTTTCGACCAATTTGGTGATTTAGGGTATTTAGGCGCCCGCGCCACGAGGTTCCGTGCCGAACGGTTGAGATATCCATGTTATGAGGTCAAACTACCTCACGGGACAAATTTTTAGAAAATTCTGCTCATGGAGAAAAAATTCGGTCAAAAACTGTCCAGGTTTAGGATGACTGGGACAGCCAAGTGTGAACAGTGCCAAGAATTTTCCATATTGGGATGTTGATCCTTGATACTGGATCACAGGAAAATAAGAAGCGGAAGGGTGCACTCCAAAAAACCATCGCTCCTGTCAGACATAAAGCGTGATATCCGTTTAGTGACCTTTCCAAAACCACTTTGAACAGTTTTCGTGGTGCAGGGCGAAAAACCCCGATGAAGCGATAAGTCATGAGCCAAAATATGGTTCAGAGCCTTGTTCTGAAGCAATGGGAAACAAATGATGCCATATGCTAATACCCAGTCTCAAAGCTGCTCGTGGGAAGGTGGGAGCGGAGAGTAAAGCAAAAGAGAGAGACCACAAAAAAACTCACGGGTCATAGATTGGAACGATGTGGCCGTTCGTATTCGGCAAAATATCCTTTCCTATCATAAACCAAACAGCTTTCGCGTCTGTTCCCAGCACAAAGTCACTTATCTCGATCGTTTTCACATTAATCACCTGTAAAAAGGTGGATTAGATGAACATTAAAAGGCATAGTCCATGCTGATAATAAGGAACCGAGACAGTCAACCACCTTGCCATTCAAGGGAAGAACGCGCTAATAAGGAAAGCACAGTGATTGATAGTCTCCGCCTGCTTACCCTCCCACACGTTAACGTGAACTGAGTATGGAACTATGCAGTGACAATGAGTAGTAAAAACAGTACTCGGATTGGGCCGGAACTTATGTTGAAGAGACCATTAGGAGATAGTCCACGGAGCTGAACGACGCCAGGTATTTGGAAAGCTGGACCATTTGGCAAGAGAACAGATGCTATCGTTTCCTTAAAAGAGATATGAGAAATTCTTATTAACCGTTATTCGGCATCAAAATACGTTATTTAAAGGTGCTCAAACATATAGTACATTGAGCATTACGATTACATGTGCAATATGCACAACTGAGACCAGTCACAATTTCTTACTGAAGTAGTTCACGCCTTCTGAATGACTCACTTGACGTTTGTGATCCCGTAGTGAGATCCAGTGAACGGATTTAGCGACAATTCCTTCTGGAAGTGTAAGAAGAAGTGGTTGAAAGCCTGCGTACCATTCAAGTGGTTGAGCGTACTGAAATATTAGAGTAGAATAATTATGGACCAATGGGGGATTGCACAATTAGGCATGGCATAATGCCATGGAAAAAACCCCTAGAATTTATCAAAGAACGCCGTGGGGTTCGATTTTGATCTCTTCACCATCTATTTGTGGAATACCGAATACCTCTATACTCATCCACTCGACGGGCCTTGTGAGAGCGGGGAGGGTTCCCACTGGGATAATGTTTCCCACATCCCGTTGATGTTGTCCGATTCAGAAACGTCACGTTGGGTACTAGCGTATGGCATCATTTGTTTCCCATTGCTTCAGAAACAAGGCTCTGAACCATATTTACGGCTCATGACTTATCGCTTCATCGGGGTTTTTCGCCCTGCACCACGAAAACTGTTCAAAGTGGTTTTGGAAAGGTCAGTAAACGTTCATATAAGTAATTAGCATCAAATACACTTAATATCACCGCAATTGTCGGGTCGAAATCAGCGGTTCCCTCTTGCGACCTTTTGATCATTGATTGTTTCCTTCCTAAACTGATCTCTACCTTCCTTCCTAAACTGATCTCTACCCGATCACCATTGGTAGAACAAGGGAGCCGAACCGAACCGAACCGAACCGAACCGGACCGGACCGCGCTGCTCACGCCGCCTCCGACAGTCCGCAATAATGAAGACTGAATCGATTTTCTTAAGATCAGGTGGATAGATAAGATAACATGCAGGGGAAAAGAGAAGAAAAGCACGTGGCCGGTGTCCGCAACTTACGCTTCCACACATAGCCCCGCTCACGTAACTGCCATATGAATAGTAGGAACGAGATTCCCCAACTTATGCGACTTTCACAGAGCATTTGCAAAACTGCTGCGTTCGGGGGGAATCGAACCCCCGTCGAATGCTTGGAAGGCATCCATGCTAACCATTACACCACGAACGCTGTTGACACACCAGCGATAAACAACACTTGTGAATGGAACGAGGACAGTGCGGAATGCGCATCAATCGCGTCATCGCTGCGAATCAATGGTGCGGCCATCTGCCATTAAATCCTTACGCTATAAAAAAAACAGAATTCCCTTTTAACTAGATAAGGTGTTTAAGAAGAACCACAACATTCTGTACTTTACAAGCTTCTACGATCCCAACTTTGTACTTTCGTGTAGAAAAAAGGAAAAAAGCGTGAAAAAAATATCACAGAAAATTTACACTGTAATTTATCTTATCGTCCTCTGGTTGACGTATTGTGAAACCAACAGGCCCAATAGTGTTGGAAGGTGTGTCAGATGAACTCATAGAATCGAGGTCGTTATGGGGTACGCTGAAGTTTCAATTTGAGATATTGATAAGAATATGATACTATTCACCGTTATTGCTCCACTCCTCTAAATTCAAGCTGTCTTTGGATATTCTGACAAAGAAAATTTGCCGAGCTAACCCTCAGGGGAGGTTTCTCTGATCGTTGGATGTTTCGGTGTCCGTACATAAGGCGTGGACGCCAGGCGGTTTTGAGCCCCACCGGATACGGTATTTGCCTTAGAGTTTCGCACTTAGACAATATTCTGACCAAATATAGCCACGGGAGAGATTTTGAATAAAATTAAGCCTAAATTTCGAAGAGCTGGCAGCAACGAATGAGTTTTAGTCTGGAGCTCTCTCAACATAGCCGAAGAATCCACTTTGTAATGATATTGAAACGTCTTTGATACCTCTGAAAAACGTCAGTTGACCCGGTTGCGTTCAGCTGTATGGCGCCATCCTTAAAATATATAAGAAATTAACCAACAAGTTTTGGCACAAGACCGATGAAACCGGACTACGTACATCTTGAACTCAATACTTTAATCGCATAAATGTGTTTCTTTACGCTCCTTCGTCTGCATGGTGTTCTCTGGTCATACTTCTGACGCACGATAAGTGGCCCACCCACTCCTCTCCTTGGCTCCAGCCCTCTTTCCTTGAGAAGGCTCGGATGTTGGCTTGTTACATTTTTGCGCTTCTGCCCTGTCTGGTCTTTTGTTTGTCTTTTTGCAGTATGTGTACAGTTTTCGCAACACTACCATGTACAAAAGTTCAAGTTGTGGCGTAACCGATGAAACCCAACGGAACACCTCGCACTAAAGGGAAACGCAGATTGATTCCAGGAAGTACAGGAAGCACTCAAGAAAGGCGGCATAGAGCAAATTTACATGACCCCCATTCCAACCGGATTTTCAAACAGCCATCTCGGGACTCTCCCAAATGCCGTCCAACATCTAAAAATACTGAATAAATGGCATACAAGTTAGTATGGTGCAATATCGTATCTTTGCAGGCGTTCAGAGATCTACCAATACTGGCCTGCTTGTTTATGCGAGCCTATGAAATGCCACTTTCTCCCCCTCCAGCCTCATAGCGGGCTCGCGCGTTATATGTATTATCACTAACAAAACAGATCAAATTAAGAATTGTAACTTCGCAGGTTTTGGTCAGTAAATTCTTCGTACTGTGGCCGCGCTGGTGGCGCATGCGCTTTTTGCAACGTTCCTGCAGAGACGATGCGCAACTCAAACAAGTCGTTGTATTGTATACAACCATTTCAGACGAAAATTGTAATAAAGCTTTGTCTGAGCCTCACCGTCAATTCCACGTGGTTTCGGTTGTCCTCCGTAGTTGAAAGTGCCTCTTCTTCCGGTGATATAGTGACTGAAATGTTATCTCCTTGTACGGTCACGATTTCTGCAGACGATAGGACATGTGACTAGGCGTGGACTGGAGCACTGCCAAGGCGACCTTCTCACCAATAATGTCGTCCGAAGTCCGCAGCAATTGGCCGGAAGAGCTGTCTTGGCTGCGTTCAGCTCACGCCTTTTCACACGTCCGACCGTTTGTGGGGATCGGTTGACATACTAATGTCATATAATGTGAGATGAGTAATTTTTACTGGTTATACTTTGATTATAATGTTTTGCTTGGTGCATACACATTAATTTCGACTCTGCTACGCACGCACTCGGCAAAGCTTCAAAAGGCACGATCCGAAGTGTTCATAGGGGCGGCGTCAGATCACTGTGTCTTCTGCATTAGCACAATCCCCTCTCTACCGTAATAAAGAGGAGGAGTACTTTACCTATGCATAATAGTGGAGGCACAATGGGCCCCCTGCACGCTCATCAAACCAGCGTTGACTGATTCTTTGACGATTCCTCATAAATTGGCTTTGAAACTCAATGGAATCGACTTTTCTCACCATCTCTTCGAGCACGTAATGAGTCGTCAAACTTCTTGGCCTTGTCCACAACTGGTTCAATTGGATTTAAGCCATTGAGAAGAAGGTTAGCAATCGCCAAGCCGTTCCTTGCCTTTGCTTCCATTGGCTGGAAAGATCTCAGCACTTGGAATGATCGAGTAACTAATGAATGCCGTGAGCTAATACAGCATTACTATGTACCGTAAACTACCGTAATACAGGAAAAGGTAACAAATCCCTCAATACTACAGGTCATAGTGTCTGTATGGTAGGATAATTGAGAGAATTTACTGCGATTTGGCAGAACTCACTGGTAATTGATCTGCTGCGAAAGTGGAGACATCAATTGGCTGAGGACGAACGTAGAAACCATTGCTTGACGGAAACATGTCGGCAAGAATGTTTTCTGTTTGGTTCATGGGTCCCAACCAGAATGTTACATTCTCTGAAACAAGGCTCTTCGATTTTGATCTTCCGTCTCATTGAAACTCCATAATGGTCACCAAAGATATAGCTTGAAAGCACAGTCCCCCTCTCTTGCATGGGCAGGGTCACCTGAGGTGTTACGCTTTTCTCATTGGACGCTTCTCTTCCCTAGTGCTTTGGAAAGAATGGCCCATGGATGTGAAGGGTGAACTTATCCAAGTGAGCCGCGACCAACGGGGAACTCAACTAATCTAGTAATGCTCAGTAATAATTAATTTTCTAAGTGATGATTCAGAATTGCAGCGAAGGATCAGCCTAATTGCTGCTTTATCACAATGCGCATAATTTTCTGGCGTTCCTCACCTGATAGAAGAGAGCCTGGCTGGAAGAAGAACTTCGAGACGATGAACCGTTTATCGTCGACGACCCATACTGCACCAGATGGCTTGAATTTTTTAGTAGCACCCAGCTAAAAATTAAATATCAGCGTACAAAGCGGGCTTTAAGGAGAAGACTCATTGGTATTGTAGCCAAAGGAATATATTCACTAGCATCTTTCAAGAAGAAACACACAACGCACCTGTTCTGCGAAACTTCCACAGTATTTCCCGTAGTACGGTAGTTTATCAGCGGATACCGTAACTTCTGGTAGTTTACTTGTAGTTGTTGTTGGTCGATTCTCACGAATCCATTCCAGTAGTCGACTCTCTTTTTCTTTCTTAGAGTCTTCCTTCGTGTCGTCTTTCACCAAAGACCTTGAACTTCATTTTAATCAACAAAATATATTCAAAAAGCACGGATAATAAATGGCTGATGTAAAGCGTCAGGAAAGGAGATAGGGTGATCAAGCAGACATGTAACAATAAATACAGATATTATAAAATCAGGATAGTAATCGATCTGTTCTGATCACTCTTTTCTCACATGCGCCTTTGACTTCCACTCGGCATCGCTTGAACTTTTTAATGCTTTTAGCCTTTACGCTGAAGCAAAGCGGCAAGTAGGAGAAAATGTCACTCTTTTATTAGGTTGTCGCATAAGTTCTTATACACGTGTTTGATCCTCTCCTATTTCGTTCGCATGGATGTTGGTATTACGTCA